GGGATTAAGTTGTTATGGAGTCTGGAGTGGTCTTTTAACCTATGGTTCTGGACCCACTGTTTAGAAGGAAGAGACTCGCCATCTTGGTCAGGCGGCCAGTCACGATCTCGAAGAAACTGGTTACTATAGCATGCATTATCTTGCTCAATCTTATGTAGATTCCATATTTAACACCAGGACTGTCTGAAAGAAGCTCTGACAAATGAATATTATTACATTATTATATAACAGGGTCAGACTGGGTCTCAGAGCACATTTAGAAATAAGGAATGGGTTGCAAGGCTGATGCTGAGTTTATAAAGTTTAAAATCCACTGGTTGATTCAAAGAACATATGAGGCACTTAGGTAGGTCAGTAGGTGTGAAAGCAAACAGTGCAATTCCCACATAAGCTGACGGGAGTCGTAACACATTGCCAGCTGTCAGTTTGTTATTCCGTTATTCCTAGATGAGTAAAGCAAAGCTAAATATACATTTTCAGACAATACCTCTGAGTATTTAGGAAGGTTGTTCATTACTAATCAAACAGTTGGTACAAGTCCACGGCTGAAGAGTAGATGAAACCAGGGCTTGTTATATAAAACATGTCTTCACAACATCTACATGGTTTGGTTCATAATCTCCATCTTTATGGAATGGTCAAAATAAACATATTCTTCAACCAATAACAGAGGGATAATTATCCCTTTAGTGACACTATAACCCCTTAAGGACCAAACTTCTGGAATAAAAGGGAATCATGACATGTCACGTGTCCTTAATAGGGTTAAACATTTTTTGAGCAAGGAAGTCCATCATTGATTTATCAACACTCCCATGATGCACAGCCAGTCTTTAGCATCACTTTACATTGCCACAATCTGCTGCAAAGTCAGGGGGCAGTGAAAGCTTCTAATAAATGAGATATACTGAGCAGGACAGTAGTGGAGGTGACTGCATAGAATTGTAGATATTTACAGATCAATTGCTCACATTCGCTCTAGGTCAGAGCTCATGTTTCCCAATAAAGGTCAACGTTACAGGTTAGGCTGCTGAGCATCATGGGAAATGTAGTTCACACAGCTGTGGGGTGCTAAGGTTAGTCATTATGGTCCTGAACATGCTGCCGATGTGGCTGCTTTGTTGTGACAATAGTGATCGTATTCCCAAATGGGCCGGCGAGAGCTGCACATGCTGCAAGTGTTGCATAAGCCATAAGATCGCTCACGGGAATATCGGCTTTGGGATCAGTCGTGGTGTCTAAGGGGGTAGGCTGAGGTTAAGAGAGGTCATGAAGGAGCAGTCACACTGTATACACCACGCTGCTACGGTATTCAACACAAAGGCTATTAGTCAGGACCAGGCAGTACTAGCTCCTATCTCATAACTATGGACAAACAGGGACAGGCTTAAACACTGCTTGTTTTGTATCGAATTACTACACATTATCAGACAGTGTTAGGTATGTAAGTAATGTTGGGAAAGCTGAGCCTGTCCTGATCAGACCACAATATAGCTAGGTCCGTATATAATGTACTACAATAATACATTTGGTCTGCATCTTATGTAGGGGGGCCCACATTATCAGGAAAGACTCAGAAAAGTGTCAATCCAACCACCATTACCCCTTCGGTGATTTGAAGTTATAATTGTGGTAGGAATCTGTCTTTGAAGCGTCTCTTCTTGAATACTGCCCATTTTGTTTTAAATGAAATTTAACTGCTATCATGTAAGTCATAGCGATTCTCGCATTCACAATTAAAAAAGGTAAGAGCAATTTTTTTTTTTTTTTTTTTAAGGGGTTACTGCAAAATGTACAGTGGACCCAAGTAACAGTGCCTAATTGTGTACCTTATGCTTATTTTAGTAGAAAATGCCCCACCTTTCAAAAGAAAAACTACCACAACAAGAGGACAGTCTTAAACTACTGGGGCAAAGCTTTACAAATAATAATAAGAAATATTACTTTACTGAGGGGGTAATGGATGCATGGAATAGCCTTCCAGCTGAAGTGGTAGAGGTTAACACAGTAAAGGAGTTTAAGCATGCATGGGATAGGCATAAGGCTATCCTAGCTATAAGATAAGGCTAGCGACTAAAGAAAGTATTTAGAAAATTGGGCAGACTAGATGGGCCGAATGGTTCTTATCTGCCATCACATTCTATGTTTCAAGTGTTTAAAAAGACTGGCCTTAATGGTGCCTATATTCCCCCTAATATCTAGGAGCTTACTTACTGCTCCCAGTTGTTTATTAGTGGAACATTCCAAGTACCACAGAAGGTTGTTTTTGACACTTACCTGGGTTCTGCCAAGTATCAGACGCCCCCACTCTCTTCAGAGCTAGAGAAGCCAGATGTCGGTTTGATATAAGAACGCTGTTCTGATGCTCTCAACCTATAAACACCTCCATTGGCATTTGGCTTCGCCTGCTCTAAAAAAATAGTAAGACCCTAAGTGTTAAACAATGCTAGAAAGAGAAAAAAAAAAAAAAGTGGTTTTAAAAATTATGCTGGTATGGCACTAGAACCACTACAGTCATTGGAGTGTTCCTTTAAGTGGTGAAGGCTCAATTAATGCTGTGACTGCACATAATGGTGGTAAATCTGACTGCTCATGATTAGGAAAGCCTGGCAGTACGGATTATGTAACTTGGGTGGAATGTTAAAGGACCACTATAGTGCCTGGAAAACAAACTTGTTTTCCTGGCTTTATAGGGTCCCCCCCGCTGAAGGGGGAGGAATGGGTTAAATTCTTACCTAGGCGCTAGGGACTCTCCTCCCTCTTCCGATGTCACCCGGCGAATGCGCATGCGCAGCAGGAGCCACGCGCACATTCATTCAGACCATAGGAAAGCATTTCTCAATGCTTTCCTATGGACGTTGGCGTCTTCTCACTGAAAAATCACAGTGAGAAGCGCCTCTAGCTGTTGTCAGGAAGACAGCCACTAGAGCCTGATTTAACCCCAATGTAAACATGCAGTTTCTCTGAAACGGCTAGGTTTACAGCTGCAGGGTTAACCCTAGCTGGACCTGGCACCCAGACCACTTCATTAAGCTGAAGTGGTCTGGGTGCCTATAGTGGTCCTAATTTTGGCAGCAAATTTCAATTTAGTTTTACTCATTCTTTTGACACAAAGGCCATTTTAGTTTTAGTTGTATTTTAGTCACCCGAATTGTTTTAGTTGACTAAATCTCCAGTAGAGACTAAAATCTAATGGCTTTAGTTAAAGTCTCTATTTATCTTATGCCCATTCCCCAGCCCTCTCTGTGGCTCTTTGCCTCCCCTTCCAAGACACTGTATCTTTCTCTCCATAGCCCCAGCACTCAAAAGTGCGTTTTAGTCATCTGAATTGTTTTTAGTCGACAAAATTAACACTGCTTGGGTGACACAGTTAAAGCAGCTCTGTCAGCCCAAGCTTGCCATTTTCCAGTTGTTTTGTCTTCTCTTCCTCTCTCCAAATCTGTTTCTCTCTCTCCCCCCCTACCCCCCAACTTGGTCTAGTAAAGAGCAATCTCAACTTCCTTTCACAATTTGTCACGTCCCATTATTTGATCACAACGCTCTCCTGGCAGTCACGTGCATTGTCACTAATCTCACAATATATCCTTTGTCCTTTTAGGACTTTCAGAGAGGGCACACGAAGGCAGTGGGTTTATATCACTGCCATACTCTCCAACATGGTGGCAGCTTGGACCAGAGATCAGGTGCCGCAAACTAGTTCGAATAAAATCTTAAAAATGGGTGAAATACAGAACCACCCCCCCACCCCCCAAAAAAATATGTAAAATAGGGGTACCCTGTTAGAGCTGCTTTAATATGGATAAATATTGCAGAAAGGAGAGGAAAAACAGATTGAGGTGTCTGCGGCCAAATTACTACCTATCCAGATAAATCCTCACATTTCTCCTAAAAGTAACTCCAGGAATAGCATGTAGGTATTTCACACGCTACAAAAATGTACCGCTTCTACCAGGTGTGGGATTAATCACCAACCTCTAAAGGAAAATTTCAAATTTTCGGCTAAAATGTGCTCCAAATCAACTTTGATACAAAAGTTGCAATTCCTTTTTCAATATTCTACAATTATACTTCAGTGAATAACTGCTGTTTCTTGGTGCAAATGCAGAGACTGCCTGTGTTGTCAGTGTTGTGGAATTAATAAAATAAATAAATCTTAAAATGGATTTGACAATACCTGAATGTATAGTATACACAAACACAATTATCAGAATACCCTTACAATTAAATAAATATATTGTATCAAAAACTTAGAACAGGTCCACCAAGATATAATTAAATAATATTTTATATTTTATTAATTATATATTGATGGACCTGCCTGACGACCCAGGGGGGTAATACCAGATAATTCAATTTGCAAGCTATGTATTTGACCCTGTAAATTTTCCAAAACCCCATATAACCTGTACATGGAGGCGGTGATATTTGAAAGATATCGCTGAACACAAATACGAATGTTTTAGAGCAGTGAAACATATAATGACAAAGATGCCATTAATGAAAGTGTGGTTTGTCATGTGAAAAATGCAAAAAAACAATATGAACGCCAACATTTGCCAGGGTTTGTTTTGTAAGTGGCTACTAAAATAACTAAATCTGAACAAACCCTATTTTGAATACTTCTGGCTGTATAATTTTGCAGAGTGTATGACATGATGGGTGTAAGGGGGTTGCCATACAGTCTCAAAGGCGTAGCAAACCAACCTGGCAAATTTCAATGTGTAAAGACTAGAAAGGGGAAAGTGCTATATTTGAACCTTTGATTTTTCAAAACACCATAAAACCTGTACATGGGGTGGGGAGGGGGTACTGTTGTACTTGTGAGACATTGCTGGACACGAATGTCTATTTTATTGTAGTAAAAGCCAATAGTATTTCACATTAAAAATGCCACGCAGAACTTGAAAAATAAAACATTCCTTTCTCACACTTGTTTTTAGATTTTATTCATGCTAAATTATGTTTCATGGAAAAATTATTCGATTTGAAATAAAAGCCCGGTTTGTCTATAGAAGTGTTGGTTCACTTAATGTGAAAGAGGTGACTTATCGCTGAACAGACATACAGCTCTAATTCTAGGTTTTGATCAGAACAATTGCCTCTGTCCTTAAGGGATTAATTTTTTTAATTTTCTTTTTTTGAGTAATGGAAGTTATGTGGACACTTATGCCAACAGCACTGGCACCTTCCCAGGAAACACCACTTCATATAATGCACATCATAGGTATCATCTTTCCATAATGCGGTCTGTACCTGTTTAGACACATGCTACCACAGGAGTCCAGAAGGCATATGATACAAAACCCAAATAAATCAGGCTTTGTTTTCAGTAGTAAGTTTTTGTCCAACAAATGCAACTTAAAATATCGAACACATCCTGAAATAACGACCTGGAGCTAATGGAACAAGGCAAAACGTCAGATTTTCTTTATTGTTTAAGATATACATTCTTAAATGTGAACAGACTTTTGCTAAATATATTTACAATCTGTGTGTATATAGGGGAACTGGTTTAAATATACATATTGAGGTTAAACCTGACGACAATTGTACCCGTCCCAGAGTGTGATCCCCCACCCCCATCCCAACCCCTCCCAAAATGCTCTGCTGGTATACACGGCTCTGTGGTTAAAGATCCAGCATCTCATCGGGTCAGCACGATTATTGCCAGTCTCTCAGCACATATAAGTTTAATTTAATTCTCACAAACCCAATGGAAAGGCTTCCATAGAGGGGGTGGAAAGTCCTGAGGCTTGATGGGGCTGGTGTTGGAAGCCTTTGGCAAACATGGAATTAAATGATGTAATAAAACCAAGTAGGAATTGCATTAACCACCTCTCCGTGCAGGGCAGAGGGAATAATGCAGTGAGCAGAGCACATACCCAAATTGGCAGACTAATGGACTGCACTACAGATCGATGCCAAGTATCTGACATATTACTTTTGTGTGCATGTGCAGGTCTGTTCATGTGTTGAACGGTTTAACTCTTTCGGTGTCAGCGGAGGTGAGAAAGCACATTAAAAAGCAGGAACATGCCTAACCACTCTGAACCCATAAATGTTCAGTCAATTCATTTATCAATGAACCACCCCCTTGATTGGCCGACAAGCCTCATGTCAGAAAGCAATAGAAATAATTCATAGGGAGGATGTTCGCACCTGCTTTGCTCATTGATGCCAAAATGACTAAACTAGGCAAGTGCTCCCCCTGGATGGGGCAATATTTTGTGGAGAGGACATGTGTTTTAAGACTACTAGTGACATTCTGCTTATCATTTCAATAAGGCACCTTCGTGTAGGTCAGATTGTGAATTCAAGGCATACAAATGCTATATAGTACATTAAGTTACCACTTTTGCAAATCCCACAAACTATGGGTGATGGCCAGGAATAAAATTTAATTAGAAAAAAACATGCCCTGTCTTTAACTGTATGTAGCAGGCTCACAAAATCTTTATAATGCAACATGGGGCAATATGGGAAATCTGTATACTATATTAGTTTACATATTGGTTTGTTTATTTATTTATATATTGGTTCTTTTTGTATTTAAAAGGAGGGAATATTAATAAAACCCCTATATTAAAATTATTTAAGCTTCAAAAACAAAAATGAATAAGTTGAAGCGAATCAGAATAAAAGTCACGAAAAAAATTTAGCATTTCAGGTGGTGCAGAGTAGGTGATGTTTATAAAGCCCAGAGAAAGGTTGTTTGTTTTTTTTAAAACATAAAAGCCACTGTTTGTAAGGCAGGAAAAAGAAATGGCGGTGAAGAGAGATTAATGGTTTCACAGTCAGAGGGCACAGGAAGAGACCCCACAATAGTCAAAAGTGATAACCAGAAGAAGAAAAAAAAAAATAGTCCTGAGGTGGGAGGTATAAAGCAAATATACAAAGGAGTAAATATGCCCAGGATGAAATGAGGGGGTGTTCCGCCCCAATAAACCTGAGAAAATACCAGACATGCTGGTAAGGGCAGGGCCTGGGCAAACAAACAAAGTAATAGAGAAAGGGAGGGGGGAAAGAAAAGAAAAAAAACAAAACAAAAAAAACAACCAACAACTCATTGTCTCAAAAGTCCTTTTTTGTGGCAATTAAGTACTCTTCTAATTCATCACAAAAAAAAAAAATTCATTTATTTACATATGTACTAGAAGTGGGTTAAAAAATAGCCACCCGAAGAGGTGTGAGATTTAAAGCGGCAGTCTTCTGTTAGCAATAAAACCTTTCCTACAGCAAATCTCAGTTTGTATGCACATATTATGCAAAAGAAAAAAATTGAAATACAATTAAAAAGGAAAAAATCCCTTTCCCCCCGCAACATAAAAATAGCTATGGGGCCGTTTTAAAAAGGGATTTTTCAATGTGAGAAATGTAATTCAGTTTCTTTGCATCCTCGCAGTGCAGGAGAGCGCAAGCTGTTCTATAATATCGCGTACAAATCTCCACACTGCAACTCCTATTAGGAATCCCTGTTCTCCAACGAAAGTTCTTCTGTGGCACGTTGTAGATCGGTGCTCACCCTCCTGCAGGGACCACCACCAGGTTGGGGAGGCACATTTGACTCCTCTAGGTTACCCCTTACTTTTTTGTCAGAATCCTCTCCTACTCCTTCTGCCTCCAGGCGCTGGTCTTCGCTCCAGCGGCGTTTGAAGCGCAGTTTTAGTGGAATGCAACGCCCACTTTCTGGTCCAGCGCTATGAGGTTCCTCATCCCTGGTTGGGAGAGGGGAAGGTATTACTTTCTGTTCTGGGAGAGTGGGAGCTTTGAATACATCCTCATCCTCTTCTTCACTGATGTCAGTCACCTCCACCATCAGTTCCTCCTCTTCCTCCTCAGCATCGGATATAGGTTCTACCTTTATCTGAGGGACTACTGAAGACGAAGATGATGAAGAGGAAGGTTCTGCACCCAGAGGTCGTTCTCTTTGCTTTCTTCCAAGAGGAGGGGGCTGGAGCTTAAATTTGAAAGGAGGCTCATCATGAGGAAGATGCAAGGGCTTGTCAGGACGCTGTGGCTGAGGCACAACAATACTAGGGTAGTGCAGGAATGCCCTTGGGCTGAGGTGGTAGTTGTACACACTCTGTGTGTGTGCCTGTAGGTAGCGCTTCATGTCTTCAGGGTTAAAGGAAAAGTGATTACCTCCTGGGTACATTGGACTCAGAGTGGGTGAGGGTGTGTAGTTCATGTGATTGGGGGTCATTGGTAAAGCAGGTGAAAGCTGTGGGGGCAGAAGGCTGTTGGGAGCTCCCATTGGAGACACTGGGAACGGGCTAAGTGGCTCTGGTACCCGTGGTCGAGGATATACTCTGAAAATGCCCTCATGAGCAAGTCGGGGAAGAGGTGGTCCCCTGAATGGTGGGATATCTGGCCCAGGTCCCCTGCGGAGATGTTCCTCACTAAGACTCTCTTCAACCTCAGAGTTGGCAGATGTTCCATCGCTGCAGTCACTGACTGAGCCACGAGCAAGGCGTCTTGCCACAGAAGAGTAGAGAGTGGGGGAGCGTAGATCCTCATTAGGCGACAGGACATCTGAAGGGGTACAGGGAGGGAAACGGAAGTGGGTCCCTCCTGAAGGAACAGGTGGGGCACTCTGAGGGACCGGCCCTCCTACAAATAGAAGAAGAAAATTTGTGGAACTTGTTAATTATACCAAATAAATTTTGCCAAGTCCCAAGATCCCAACAACAATTTGTAATGAAGCAAGGTTTCATATTAGTTACTTCCTTCCTACTGGACCAATAGAAAAAATGTCCACCCATTTCTATGCTATTGAAACATGCTGTCTCCACCCTCCAGCAGTCACAATGGAATGACAAAGAACTCAATGGAGTCACTCAAAGCCATAGTGACTGATCAGCTAAATTGTACCCTATTTTTCTCCTTCCATTTTTTTTGTTTGCATTTTTTTCTCCCACCCCTGCCCCCATTGTGACAGTCATTTATCCCTGTCATATTAAACCACCAAACAGCCCTAAGATGCACTGGCTAGTAATTAGGTGTTAAATTTTGACCATTAACAGTTAACATGTGCTTGTTGCACCTGATACAACACTTGCTATCTTTAGAACTGGACTGTTTCAAGTTATTTTGTTTTGCTCCTAATTGTTAAAATATTTGGAAATCTAAAATAAAAATGGTCAAGGAAAGTGGGTTTTCCATAAAAAGTTCTAACTGACTCATTTGTGTCTTTCACAATAAAATCTTTGTATTCACATTTTTTTTATTTTTTTTTTTTTATTTATGAACACATGCTGGTAAAAGGGATAGCATTTTTAAACTTGATATGACAACACACACTGCTTATGAGTATTTCTAATGAGCCATTTACAACTCCTCTGCAGAGATGCAGAAGTACAGAATGGGGTCCTGGCAGAGAAATTAGTTGCCATGTAATGAGCAACCCAGAACCTACAGGAGTTTAAACTATAATCATAATAATGCTAAATTAACTTGAGAGCTGTAGGTTTTATAATTGTAAAATTAGCTCCACCAATTTATGCTTAGGTCTTTGTATCAATGGAACAGCATCGTTCATTTAAACAAATTTTTGATTAAATGCTAACTAACACTATAGTGCTAGGTATACAAAGTTGTATTCTAGTGCCAATGTACCTCGGCGCTGGATCGGGCTTTAACGATGTCAGTCAACGGGAGGCACCTATAATGCACATGTGCGGTGAGAGCTGCATTAGGCCTTCCCCATAGGAAGGAAATGATTCAGTGCTTTACTATGAGGTTTTTCCGACACACTGATAGTCATGTGAAGACATCCAGTGATGTTTTAAAAACTCTGCGAAACTACAGGAAGTTTCTCTAAAACTGCAATGTTTACACTGCAGGACTGAGGGGGACAGGGACAGTGCACCCAGACCACTTCAATGAGATGACGTGGTCTTGGTGCCTCGTGTCCCTTTAAATATTAATTCAGCATGTTTTCCCTTCAGTTTTTTTCCCTAATCAAAGAAGCAGAAAGGACTAAAATGGTGATGCCAAAGTGATGTGTCTCCGCACATTATATCCTGAGCTCTTACCTGTCATGCCCATGTCAATGAATGGATAGTTCACTAGCACCAATTTGTTGAAGTTGAACTTATAAGTGAAACGTTTGCCTTTGGTTTTGTGGAGTATTCTCTTGTTGTAGTAATACCTGGATAGAAAAAAAACAAGAGAATACAAGCTCAGCAGACCATAAAATGTAACCTCCTATATATTGTCTAGATAATAGTATGCATCAAACTGACCATGAATGCAGTGTGCCAATCACAAAATATCCACACAGTCGGCATTCAGTATTCTCTGCTAAACATACAGCAAGCAAACAGCGGTGAATCAAGGAAAATATAGTCCAACGAATGCTGAGAGGCCAAGGCTGGACTTCCCTGCTGCAGATTGTGGGTAAGTCTATACTGGCTGTGCATATCAACACTTACTTTTTCATCATAACAGTCCACTAAACTAAATACAAGGTTTTGGATGTGTCACCTGGCCCTAACACACAACCCCAGCCCACCAAATTGGTGTAAACATCTGGAATCCCAACAGCAGCTCAACAGGATCAAGGTATGGACAATCAATTGAATAATACCCCTTTACAGATCAGGTCTTTCATCCTGTACTTTGCTTTCATAACCTGGTAATTATCAAACACCAAAACAGCTTATCTTTTCCAACACCCAGGTGTACTGCAGACAAAGACTCTACAATTAAGAGGATATCACCCTCCCACCACTGGTAAATGCGAGGAAGAACGGTTTCCCAGTCCACATGCACCTAACCAAGTCACTGAAATTACTCCCTATAGTTAATCCACAAAACGTCTTTATTTGCTTGATGGCTACACAAAGGTTTGTTTAGGTTTACTTAACAAACGTTAATATTACACATATGCAAAATAACTAAGTAAACATGTATGTCCTGTATTGTAGACTCTGGGCTGCCATTAGTATGTTTTCTTCTGTGCAATTTCTGATAACGGTCCACAATCTAAATGTCAGATGAATACGGTTTAGCTGCTTGGTGGTTACACCCAATTAGAGTATTTATTTAAAAAAAAAAAAAAACATAACATTGTAGTTGTTATGGTGTTTGGAGTGTTCATTTACCTTTTAAATATATGTGATCTAAGTTTGTACTATATGGCAATGCTGACCCTTTAGTTTTAAAAATTATGCTATAGTAAATCTATAGTGTACTACTACATCTTTAAGGATGTTGGTACAAAGAGGAATAATGTAAACTGAAAGTTCCAGATCCATCGTTCTGCATGGCCAGTAACAGCAAGTGGCTGAGTGGGAGTAGGGAGAAAGAGCCTTTAGTGGAACCTAGGATGGTTTTTCCAGTTAGCCAGCCCAGTTACTTTGGAAAGAATCGGGACTACACAAGCCAGAGTATTACAGCTGTGTCTCTTGGAAGAAACATGGTGAAACACCAGAATCAGAGGGGATGGATAATGAGCACTCAAATCAATGTACATGAGTGGACATCTTAAAAAAAAGCCTTGCACGTTTAACTTAAATAGCATAGTAGTATTTCCTGACTTAAAATAGTTAGGAGTATTTGTTCTAGCGCTATATTTTACAAATTATCAACATTTACCTGAGTGCCCGGCTCAGCTTGTCATAATTCATCTGCGGTTTACATTTCCGTACGCCCCAGAGTCGTGCCACCTCATCTGGATCCTTTATTACAAACTCTCCATAGTCTCCTTGCCAAGCAATGACATCATGATATTCTTCTTTGCGTAGCAGCTCCAGAATGAAATGCCACAGCTGTATCTGTCTGGAGCCCGGGCTGGACTCCGGCTTATAGGCCCAGTCAGGAAAGGCAAACCCTGAAATTAGAAAGAAAAAAATAAATAAATATATATATATATATCTATATGTCTTCAGGGAATTATTTCCTTAGAGATGTTTTGGTCTGTAAAGTTGATGCATCAAATGTTTTCATTTGTCAATATAATATTATCTTACTTTAAACAAAGCTGATTAAGACTGGTCATAAAAATCAGTTGCACCGTTACAAATCTTGCTCACTGTGCCACTTAAATGGCATTGCTAGTCCTCTAAATCTAGTGGGTTAACAGTTGGGCTTAAAGAAGCCTAAGGCTACTGAACATCACGAGTTTAAATCAGGAACATGGCTCTATCACGCAGCATCTCGGGTTTACATTACATTGCTGTGCATTTATCCCCAGACTGAGCACTTCAATTTATTAGGTTGATGCTTCCCAAACATTGATCATGAATAACACCAGAAAAACACACATTTCCCATCAATTCAAATTCCTTTTCCTTCCCAAAAGTTAAACAGCTAGCGATGAACTAATGAACGCAAATTAACAATTCTGTTTCATGATGTAAAATGAAATGCAGTCCATAAAAATGACTGCGGAAAAGAAAGTTGTTTACAGTGCACATGGGACAGTAGGTCTAGGGAGGAGGTCCGCAATCTGTTCAATGCACTAATAAATCAAGCCTAGTGTCCGCTCAGCAGGAAACACGTAATACAAATATGATCACACACAGAAAGTCAGACTAACCGTTAACCTTTTAGGGTAAGGAGAATAAACCATTGAGCACTCAAACAAGGATGTTCACCAAAGTGAGAATTCAAAGTGAATAACAAAATTAAGGTCAAAATAGCTGAAGTGGAAATATTCTCTAAGCCAGCTATGTTTTAGATCAGTTACTTAGGCCTTACATTTGAGAATCACTTTTCTCAATTTAGTAAATACCTGTTAGAATTTTAATGCTTTTAATATATAGTTTCAGAAGGTGGCCCCAAATGACATATGTATGGTACAAATAGTTATCAATAAAAGGTCTACTCAAAACTTTCGGTTTTACATAGGTGCCTCTGAGCTTTGACTAAAACCATAAACTGGGTCAAGAGTCAAAAAAATGGCAGAAAGGGATAAATCACTAAAGCAAACCATGTAGCTCATTTTTAAATTCTGCAAGTCGGATATTATATTACCTACCCCATTTTAGGTAAATTGATCCAAAAGTTGCAACTCCCGTTGTCCATTCTCATAACACACTTTAATACAACTGACAAAAAAAAAACTAAATTTTTTTATCTCGTTCTATCATCTCTGGCGCCAGTGATGATAAACGAGTCGTGGTTATGTACCTAAAAAGGAAGACCATGGCCAAAAAAGTAGGGTGTGCAATGTGCCAAGTGCCTTTGGAAGCTAACATTTTGTCACTTACGCAGGTAGGTTTATTGGATACAGTAGCTAACCATTAAAGAGACACTATAGTCACCAGAACAACTACAGCTTATTGTATATGTTCTGATGAATATAATTCCCTTTAGGCTTTTTGCAGTTAATCTTTTCAAATAAAATGCAGTGTTTACATTACAGCCTAGAGATACCCCCACTGGCCACTCCTAAGATGGCTACTAGAGGTGGCCTGGGGCAGTGCTGTAGAGAGTGCAGACAATTTTACACTTTCCTTTGACCTGGACATTTCTGGTGAACACATTCGTGTTTTAATAATCATTGCCATGTCTTCCTAACAATTGTACAATGGAGAGTGAGAAAAAAAAAAAATGTTTTGAAGGTTTTAATATATGCGAAAAGAACATAGAACAGCGGAATAGAAAATAATTTCGACCTTATAATCAAAATATAATCTGAAACAAAACGGTAATAAAGTGTAACCCTGGCAATAAAACTGAAAAATAAATAAAAACAAGAAGAACTCCATATTTATGTCTTGTATGTCAACACAAGGAAACAAAGAACATAATTAGCAAAACAAAAATAAAAGTTGGACCCGGTAGACGTATCAAGTGATGCTGCCTACTCAGGATTAGGCTCTATCCTCCTTTTAGCACGCCCAAGGCATGTACCCACATTAATGCATGGAAAATCCAACCCTGGCAAAAGGTTAGCCCATAACCAAATGCTTGGACTGAGATTACAGGCTCAGACACTATTAGAGCCATGGTGTTTATTGAGCACAGTCTCCGTGTTGTAGGGTCTCCGCGTCTGCAAGAAAAACAGACAAGGCTTCTCATGTAGGACAGGTCCTAGCCTGTCTCCTACCCACGTGAAACTACAAGAAACATGTGAGTGTGTGGTGTGGAGCCGTCTGCCAGCTCACAGCTCCTTCCATCCTCGGCACACACTAAATAGCTCCCGTCTGAGGTCACAGCATCCCACACAAAGCCCCTTTTCTTATAAGGGCAGGGAGAACAGACCTCTCCTGCACATTCCTTCCAGGAGCATGGGGTGGGGGGGAGAGGGACCGTCCCATCCCCTCCTCCCACAGGGAGACACATCCTTGCATGCACGTCCCCACCACTGGTACAGAGTATAACACAGGATCAAAGAAAAGTGTTGTTTTAAAGTGACATTTGTGCCACTTGACAAATAAACCAGATGTTTAAAAAGCAGTACTGGTGCAAATAATAGTTTTATGAAGGAAGGGTGGGGGAGAAAAAACCTAGTCCTTAAGATTTTTGATTTTGAATTAACAAAACAAAACAAAACATCATTAGGTCAATCAAGTTTGCTCAGTCTGCTTTCTTTTATCTGTAGAAATAATAGACTATCCTAGTGTGACACAGCAAAAAAATAAAGTTACAAAATGCTCTAAAACCCATAATGCTGACTAAATGTAAGCTCGTTTGAGCAGGGTCCTCTCCAACCTATCGTTCCTGTAAATTTTTTGTAATTGTCCTATTTATAGTTAAATCCCCCTCTAATAATATTGTAAAGCGCTACGGAATCTGTTTGGTGCTATATAAATGGCAATAATAATAATAATAATAATAATAATAATAATCAGCATCTGGAGTACTTAAGGTTTTCTAATCCCTGCCCTAGAGGTTTCCCACTAGTAGTAATAGTGCGATTTTATAAGGTCAACTTTCTGTTGTCCCAACACCTTTCTCAATGAGTACCAGTGTCTTCCAATCAACTCCCTGTCCTCAGTGTGAAAGTTCAAAAGGAGATCTACCTGAAGTGTTTGCAACACACGTCACATGATTTATAAAAACAAAAACTGTATTAAACAAATCAAAAGGGCAGATTGAATAACTTTGGGGGAAGTAGTCTGCAAACATTTGCAATGCCAAGATGAGCAATCTGCTCTGGTTACTCAAAGCACCATGAGAGTTGGAGTCTTTATGTCCAGTATGTCACTTTGAAACACTGCACATACAGAGTTTACCCCTTTGCTGCCAGGGACGTAATTCCACCTCCAGCAGCAGAGAAACATTACTAGTTCTGGGCTGGCTAATGTCAACGATCTGCATCTTTTTATGCATAGAATTATATTCAATGGCTGAAAACAGTGTAGCTCTGTAGAAGCCAGAAGCTGTCATTTCTCACCAATACCCTTTGTGCCCAGCAGGGGACCAGGTAAGAGGGCAAACCATTGCTCCGTCATCAGAATAGTGCTGGCACTATAGAGTGGGCTGTAAGAATTATGATGCTTAGAGTAAGCCTTTAAAGTTCTAAAAACACATGTCAGAGGCAGCTCTAGAACATACATCTCCTGGTGGGAAATAAACAAAAAGGAATATTTGAAGTGTAGCTTAGTACTGCAGTCTGCATTGCCATCACTGGCGGAACGGGGCAAAAGAACAGAAAGAAACCTCAGATTCGTCTTCGGTTAATTACGTGAAACTCAGCATTGCTGAGAGATCGAACCAGACAGAACTCTTGGGAAAGTTCGGGATTTTGATGTTAATACCCAAGGTGAAAAGGTCTCCGGTGAAAATGTCCATTATCACCTTTTTCTTTTGCACACACACCCACCAAAACCAAATTACACTAGCAGCTGGGCTATGAAGAACCATTGGTGTCAAGGAATGCTTTACTGTCTGAAACATCTGCTTTCATCCTGATAAGTCTAGAGTGACCACCACAATAGGAAATCCACACACAAATCTGTCTTCTCTGGAAGTGCTAAAGTAGAGGTGTCCTCTCGGCAGAGCGGAGTACAAGAGCTTCCACCTTCACCACAAATAATGCAACTGGCAAAGGGGGATGGTGAACAGGTCCAGCAAAGTTCTCCTTACTGACCTCTCTACCCCTTGTTAGGATTCCAAATCTAGGTTTTGGTGACAAATGAAACATGTTTCTTTGTAAAGAAAAAAAAACAAAAAAAAAATATTCAATATATTAAAGTTATTTTCCCTCTCATAAAACTGCTATAGTTTTATAGATCAATTTTACCCTGCTAAGCAAAGCAATTTAAATCTAATCTCACTGTGAACAACAACCTGCACAGGTCTAATCAGCAATACTCTTAAAAGTTACACACTTTGGTAAACACTTTCCCAATCAACTTGTTGAATTCTCTGTAAAAGATTTGCAGGAGTAAAGCTCGAATGACCAAGCTGTGGTTTTCTATCAGACAGCATGCAGACAGGAGTAGCTAAAAAGGGTTAAGCAGAATGAAAAAGCAGAGTAGAACAAATAAAAGTCCTTTTCTGGCAAAGCTATAAGCACTTTGCAAAATTATTCCTTCAAACAAAAGTGATCGTGAACACCACGGCTGGCAGGCTTCAGCCACCCGTTTTATATTACAAATCAGGAAAACTGCCCCCCACATTTTAAGAAGTTTATCAGATCACAATCAAAAGGTGCAAAGACTAACCTCCAGTGCTCACCCTCATTCTCAAGCAATTCTAAAAACAAAGTTAATTTACTTAACAGAGACACAAAAAAAAAGTATTTGATCCGTTTGATTTTGTACATTTGTCCACTGACAAAAATGATCAGTCTATAATTTTAATGGTATGTGTATTTTAACATTGCGTCAGAATAATAAAACAAAAAAAAATCCAGAAAAACGCTTGTCAAAAAAGTTATAAATTGATTTGTATGTCAATGAGTGAAATAAATATTTGATTCCCTATCAGCAAGATTTCTGGCTCCCAGGTATCGAGCGGAGATTAGGAGCACTTGCTCCTAATCTCAGCTTGTTACCTGTATAAAAGACACCTGTCCACAGAAGTAATTAATAAGATTCCAAACTCTCCACCCTGGCCAAGACCAAAGAGCTGTCCAAGGATGTCAGGGACAAGATTGTAGACCTACACAAGGCTGGAATGGGCTACAAGACCATCGCTAAGCAGCTTGGTAAGAAGGTGACAGCAGTTGGTGAGATTATTGGCAATGGAAGAAACAAAATAACTGTCAGTCTCCCTTGGTCTGGTGCTCCATGCAAGGTCTCACTTCCTGGAGTTTCAATCATGAAAATGTTGAGGAATCAGCCCAGAATTACACAGGATGATCTTGTTAATGATCTCAAGGTAGCTGGGACCATGAGTCACCAAGAAAACAATTGGTAACACACTACGCCGTGAAGGACTGAAATCCTTCAGCACCCGTAAGGTCTCCCTGCTCAAGACAGCACATGTACAAGTCCGTCTGAAGTTTACCAGTGAACATCTGAATGATTCAGAGGAGAATTGGGTGAAAGTGTTGTGGTCAGATGAGACCAAAATCAAGCTCTTTGGCATCAACTCAACTCGCCGTGTTTGGAGGAGGAGGTGTGATGCTGCCTATGACCCCCAAGAACACCATCAAACATGGGGGTGTTTTTCTGCTGAGAGGACAGGACAACTGCACCGCATCAAAAGGGACGATGGACGTGGCTATGTACCGTCAAATTTTGGATGAGAACCTCCTTCCCTCAGCCAGGGCATTGAAAATGGGTTGTAATTGGGTATTCAAGCATGACAATGAAAGGAGTGGCTCAAGAAGAAGCACATTAAGGTCCTGGAGTGACTTTAATTCCATAGAAAATCGGTGGCGGGAGCTAAAGGTTTGAGTTGCCTCGAAACTTTAATGACTTGGAGAGGATCTGCAAAGAGGAGTGGGACAAAATCCCTCCTTAGATGTGTGCAAACCTGGAGGCCAACTACAAGAAACGTCTGACCTCTGTGATTGCTAACAAGGGTTTTGCCACCAAGTACTAAGTCTAACGGGTCAAATACTTATTTCACTCATTGACATGCAAATCAATTTATATGTTTTTTTGACATCCATTTTTAATGAATTTTTTCTTGTTATTCCGTCTCTGTTAAAATACACCTACCATTAAAATTATAGACTGACCATTTCTTCGTCAGTGGACAAACGTTCAAAATCAGCAGAGGATCAAATAAATTTTTTCCTCACTGTATGTATGTATGTATGTATGTATGTATGTATGTATGTATTTTTCGTTAAAATAGGCTTCATGATTTGTTGATGAATACAATATTTTCATATGTTAACAGTTCCTGTTAAGCATGTTCACGGGAATATTAACCCCTTAAGGACCAAACTTCTGGAAAAAAAGGGAATCACGACATGTCATGTGTCCTTAAGGGGTTAAACAGGTAGATACTTAACCTAACATACGGCTATTTTATAAAATAAAAATATGAAACCAAACGTTTTTCATTCAGTGAGAATGAGGACAAAAACTCTGGTGGAACCTTAGGCACGCAGAGCTAAAAAGACATGTGGATCTTTAATGCTTTATCACACAAACGTAGCAGACTGGAAGGGACAGTATGCAAGATGCATCAAGACAGATAACTACTGTAGTTCAATTGCAAGACATAAAAGGACAGAAATGTTATATTGTTTTGATACGCCACAATTAAAAAAAAAAAAAAGAGAGAAAGGTATGAACACTATGTATCCATCAGATTCTTTTAGAATGATAAGAGTAGTGCAGCAGAAGAAGAAAAAAAAAAAAAAAAAAAAGGAGGACCTGTTTTATCAGGGAGACAAGGATATGCGACACAATAGACTTGTGTATAACAGGAAACATTACAGGACACCAACTGCAATATTTTTGTAGAGCATCCGGCTCCCAGAGTTTGTCAAGTACAGGCTTGACTGCAAGATCCTGCATAGAAGCAGAGTAACAAGTGATTCAGATGTACGTGGAATCTTTACACACATTACAGTAAACCTTTCCAGTTAATAAATAGCATGCAATTTAGCAGTATCTGTATTTTCTAACAGCTTGGCCGTGTGTGGGTGTACAAAGTACTATATTATTCTTATAGATTATCATGTCCCTTCTTCTGTTCTGCTTCCGTCCTTTATGGCACAAGCGTTATACAATTCTATTGACCGACAGGAAGAGCTCAGATTTTAAAAAGCCACCATCCAGCACTTGGCAATCCCATTTCTCAGAGGAAGAAAAAAAAAAAAAAAACAACAACAAAAAAACACTATATATATCTCCGGACTCTAGCAAAGAGTTCCTCCCTACAATAAACAATAGCTGCAAAGCTGGGGCATCTTACCACAAAGGTGTTCGGACACAGTTTGAAATCTTGGCATCAATAGCAAGTGGGTTAAATTCTCAAGTCTGAACAGGTCTTTAAAACATTATGTATCAATTGGACAAATGTCATGGCATCTAGTGTCAAGAAGGGTACAAACATTAAAATGCCAGGGTTATAAGAACCATGAACCGGTCTCCTTTATCAATTTAAGAGTAGATCCATGAAAGTAGCAAAGGGGTAATGAACCACCATAACAGAAAACCATTAACAAAGAATAACATACCCCTTCCCTTTTATTAAAGAAAATATCAATAATTTTCCTTTTTAATTCACCCAATACTTTTTTTTTTATTGGAAAAAATAACTAAATAAATAAAAATTATATACAGTTGTAATTGGAAATCTCTCCATGGATACAGTTAACCTTACTACAGAGACACCGTATTCACCCAGACCACTCATGTCAATTTAAGTGGTGTGGGTGCGGTGTCCCTGTCCTTTTAACTCTGCAATGTAATACATCACCTTTTATTTTTATTTTTTTAGAAACTGCAATGTTTACATTACAGGGTTATGTCCACTGCTAGTGACTGTCCGTATGACACTGACATGCAATGCTGAAGCCTCATAGTAAAGCATTGATTCAGTGCATTCCTAGGGTTAAGTTTGAATGCGTGTGCACATGTGCATTAATTGGACACTGGTAGAGGAGGCCAAGCCTCCTAAGTGATGTCATGGGTGGCGGAGAGAGCAGGAAAATGGCAAGTACAATTTTACTTTTTAGGAAAGGTTTATGGCATACAGGGACAGCGACACTATAGTGTTAGGAATACAGGCTTGTATCCCCCCCAGAACACTATAATGTTCCTTTAAATTTAGGTCTGGATGAAAACTGAAATGGCCATCATTCTGAAAGAGGGAGATCCCCTTTTATAATTTTTTAAGGTTTTTAAGTCTGTTCTGAAATTAGTATAGATTGTAATTTACTATATCTGGTACAGGATAGGATGCAGTACAATAATTAGAGCCGCTTTTCCCCTTTGTGAGCCAAAAAGGGGAAAATATTCAGGAATGAAGTGTAGAGGGGCATGTTTGGATATAGACACATTAAACGTTAATGAGAGTTGTGTAGTGAAGCTAAATAAACCTTGCACATCACAGATGAGCACTGTGTAGCCCATTTGCCAGATTCTACTGGCACAAATGGGAGCACACCAATACTAAAAATTCAGGCTCTCACAGAAGTTTAGCTCGACATTGGGGTTCTCCCAGAATTCCATATGCACATTGGAGCGGAGGACAAAAACCAGACCACTTTGGGTGAAAGGTGACATGGCCAAGCGACAAGATTCTTTTCCCTTCTTAAACCAAACACAAATGGAGCAAAAAGGATTATTAGTCCAAAAAAAAAAAAAAATTACCTAAAAGACAATCAAATAAGCGTAAATTATTCTCGCTCTGAAAGTGTCCCTAAAATTAGTTTCATGGACTATAATAAAACAGAAATGGTTAGTGATCTCACAGTAAGGAGTAGGAGTAAGAGGACTGTGAACACAGAAAACTGCATACTACTACACAAAGGGCTCCTTTCTTGTCGCCCCCCAACCTCCCCCCACCAAGGGGAAAGGGAATTTGTACTAATCCAGCATTATAAGAAAAGGCTGATCATCCTCCAGAGAACAGGAGATGAAATCCAAAGACATTGTTACTAGCCCAAAATGTCATCCATGACAGGTAGAAAATATACCTGAAAGCTAAACCTCTGCCCCACATTAAAATGTTTGTTGCACCCAGTTAAGCATAAATCCGGAGACACAATCCTGGAGCTTACATGGCAATAAAAGATCTTTCTACCAGCGTGTTCTGTCTGTGAAAATGCAAGTGGGAGCGCTAAGTGTGGCAAATTACCACCGTGACCGGAAATTCAAAAGTCCACTTGGCGGACTGCAGAAGAGAGGAATCATGCTCCAACTCAGCACTAGTTAAACATAAACTGGACACCTTGTTATTAAAAAACATCAATAAGTGCAGACTCAGCATTTGCAAGATAGGATGAAGGAAAAAATAAATACCTTACCTATAAAAAACCCAGGAAAGTGTGAGTATCTACCCCAGAGAAGTTAAGGAAACATATCTCCAAGTATTCAGTTTCTGATAAAACCAATTTTGAAATCTGACAATAAAATCCTTGACCCAAAGAGCTTACATTCTGTGGAGGGCTGGTTATTCTGTGAATATTGATGAAGAACAGAAATTAACTTAAAAGGACACTAGTGTCACCAGGAAAACTACATCTTAATGTAGGGCTCGTCAAATCCCATGGCGACTAAAAGTTTTGCCCTGGTATCTGGGATTTGTCAGCTTATTATCTAAAACGTCAGGCTGTGCAAATAATGGAGTAGGCCGTCCACCCGCAGCAGCATGTAGGCGGCTGGCTGAGGGAGCATTGTAGCCGGCCACCATGGGCTTCATGGAGGCAGCTGGTTTAGTGGGTGTTGTAGCAGGCCACCCTGGGCTTTATGGAGGCGGCCGGCTTAGTGGAGCATAAAGGTGGTCAGCTAGGGCAGCTTGCAACGGAGCAGTGATCTTCCAGCGGCTCCTCTCTGCTACCATCGCGCGGTTTAATGATGCCAGGAGCCGGATTATGACACCATTCTGCCCGGGCATCGCAGGGAGCAGCCGCATGGTAGATTACTCCTCCCTCTTAGACAGGAAGAGAGAGCAGCCCCACTGGACCCCAGGGAAAGTCCACTCAGCTCTCCCAAAGGTAGGGAGGCTGGATGGATTAAAATAAAATAAAAAATTTAAAAAAAAAATGTAAGTTTGCAAGTGTTTGAGTGACTATCAGAGTGTGTCTCTGTTTAGGTACCTGCCACACTCCAATCACATGACTGGTGTTTACTCACCTTTTTTTCCCCCTCGCCGTGCAGGTTTTGCCGTGGCTTGTACCGCCTCTATTGCAGAGTTCATCAATCTTTATGATCTCAGCTAAGCCAATGCTTTCCTAGGATTTTGCACATGTTCTGTATGGGTAACATTTAGCGCCTCCAAGCAGAGCACTGACACAGGACTCTAGTGGCAGTCTGAGTATGCAGCAATGTAAACACTGCCTTTTCTTTGAAAATGCAGCGTTTAAATTGAAGAGGCTACAGGGGCATGCTATAGGCACCAGAACCACTACATTAAACTGAGGGGGACTGGCTCCTAACTTTTTTTAGCTGGCTTCCAAACAAATTTTTCAAGCCCTGTCTTAATGTATATAGAATGTTCCTGCAAGTATTTAAAATGTAATCACTGCAACCGATGCACCGTTCATGAGTTTTTTAATCCCTGGCATATAGAACATGTTCATGTATGAAAATACACCTACACAAACATATACAGGGCTCAAAATGTCCACTAGACAAGTGACAATTCAGGCCTGGTTAGTGAGACATGGACCCTCTGGCTTCAGTGGTAAGTGACTTAGTCCTGAATAGTAGAGGAGGACTTGACATTTTAGATTGTGGGAATTCTGTTTCACACTCCAAGGGTTTTACTGGCAAAACCAGGAAAGGTCATGTACAAATGTTGAGCTTTCGTCTTCTGTTTTATTATTTTGATGTACAGTTTAGTGAATAAACCCTATAAGGCTGATTTACCAAACAGAAATTCAAAAAGGATTTAAATCTTAGTTCAAAATAGCTGAATTGAAAAATACTTTGATAATTTGAATAGCTGCCTAAAATGTGAAATACATTTTGAATCCCTGACAATTCACACTGTAGTATACAAGCCTCTGTTGGCGAATATACATTTAATTATTTTGTGCTCCTATCTACATTGTAAGTCTTTTATGAGCACAATCCAAAACCTCTCCCAATCTCAGCATGTGTTCTTTCAAGACCTTCACTGCACCCAGAGATCAATCCCTCAGTCTCAGACATGGAGTATCTGCTCAACATGCCCGAACAGGACTCTGCAGATTTTCAGACAGCACCTACTTACAGTAACAATAGCAAAGCTCTAGGCAGTCTGCAAAACAGACCTGAAAATGTGTTGGGAGAGGCAAAAAGCCAGTTTTGATTTTGAAGTGACCTTTATGGCGTGGATACTTATCACATCTGTGGTTAATATTAAATTTGTCTACAGGGCAAAATAAATAAATACTTTTTTTTATTTAAAAAAAAAAAAAAAAAACACATCACCACACGCTTCCAGAGATGCTTCCTAACTGTAAGTATTTCATGGGAGGCGGGTGGATGAAGAGCAGTTCCTGTAGTAATGCTATTTCCCCAAACCCCAAACAAATCAGGAGGCATCAATAATTTAACGTCCCTGTAATGGACGCCAGGGAGCAAGACAGGAGAGAAGCCAAGGACGCAGGGAAAGACATTAAGATGGGTGAGGTCATTTACTGGCGAGGGGGAGGCAGCTCTTCTGTCACACCTAAAACTGGATGTGCAAGCTCCTTCAGGCTACGCCAACATCAGGACATAGAGAGCTGCTGGCAAACAGCAATTTCTGAGGCACCCAGGAGTGCGGGATTACAGAATTAAATATTGTACAACACTGCTGAAGATGTTGGCTTCCTACAAATAAAGTAGAAGTATATAAAATCTAACCATGCTCTAATGAATGGTCAAAATATAAAAAAATTTAAACTACTTTCTTACACAGGCTGGTCATACACAATTAGAAAATAAAATGGCACAGTTAATTCAGAGGCCCCTCCCACTGCGTTACAACCTCTAGAACACAGGCTCTTTTCCTGGAATAGAGGCACAAAGTATACTTGAAGGCTTAATGCTTGCTTGAAAGCTTTATTACTGCATTTCAGCAGCGTGGTGGATTGAAGTGCAACCTTTGGTAACGAAAGGGTTAGAAAAAGAAGAAAATGGAAGGTGGCGGCCATCAGAACGGAGAGGGAAGAAAAACGAGTTCCGGTCTCTAAGCAACGGGAAATACAGAGAAAAAGAGAGTGAAAGCCAAGCTAAAAATAAACTACTTCAAGAATAAGAAGCAGGAAAAATACACCCAGATCTATAACGGCACCAAGTATACAGCACACAGACTGACTAACCCTTTGCATCACCACATTATTAGGGGACAGACTCAATGTGCTGTAAACTTATAGCCACGAAAAAACCTGAAAAATAAACACACAAACAGCCAGTAACTAGTGCATTTGCATTGATTTGTTTTAGGATGAACAACAATTTAGAAGCTGGTAAGATAATTGTTGGGATTAAATCCATTCAGATATGTGGGACATGTTGGATGCCAGCAGGGTAACATGGATCCACAATGTTTTGGCGTAGCACGGTACAGACACATGGCTGTGAAAATTTAAAAAAATGTAACTCTTCTCACACAAGCAGTGTGTACCACAGATACCAAATACTGCCACTTGTTTGGAGAAAGGTGGAAGGATATACTTAAAAACATGTCTAGCACAATTCCATAAAACTTGACTTGGGTGATTAATAGGGCCATGTACAAAAGGCAATGGCAAAATAACAGAGGGAGGTGTATTTATAAACACATACTAAGCTGGGTGCTCTCTCCTGCCTTGTGTATACAGATCCGAGAAAACCTGTGAGTGCTTAATACACAAAGGGACACACACACACACACGATAAAAATTTGCATTTGATGTCTGAAGCCTCATATACAATGAGCAAGTACACACACACACACACACACAAGTTGTAAGGCATTGGCAGTGTCTATAGATGCTCCAATGGTAGAGATCGTTTCATGGCTCTCTTGAAATACTAGACCACATTCTGACTCACAGGGTTATTCACCAAAGTTAGAACTATCAGGAATTGAATGTGAATTTCAAATGTAAGGCCAAAATAGCTTAACTGGAAGCATTCTCAAAGTCAGCTACTTTGGTCTTGGATATGAAACACACTTTGAATTCCTAACAATTCTCTCCCTGGAAGAACTGCTAGGGCTATCCTACTATTCACCTTGCTAAAAAAAAAACAAAACAAAAAAAACCCAGGGCATATAGGAGTAGAAGATGGTGCTATTTATATGGAATTTACATAAATATGGCAGACACCTTTTCAGCCCTATAGTGTAAACGGACCGGCAGCATATTCCTCTGGCTGCAAGAGTTAACTGGAAATTAAACATAGAAATATTAAAAAAAAGACAGGTTATAGGGTGACACATTACCAACATTATACCCTCTAAAAGATCATGTTTTGCTGAATGGAATAATCACGTTATGCTTTCCCCGATTTTCTGTGGATTGACCTCCAAGACAAATACTGTAATGCCCATTTTTTACCAAGTGCAGAAAAGAGTCTTTGTGTTTTTGTAACGCTATAAGAAGTGATTGACGTCATTTACATAAGTGGTCGTGTCTGCTAGCTCAAGGAAGTACAAGGAGCAGAAGGGAGAAAAATAAACCCCCCAAACAAAACCCAAATACAATTTTAAAATGAAAAGAAGAAAAAAATAAAAAATAAAATAAATAGACGACACATACTGGGTAGTGAACCAAGAATCAGCCTTGGGAGAAAAAATAAAATAATAAAATATGCTGGACTGCTACTGACTTTCTTGTAACTTTAATAGTAGGCCCAAAAGGCTAGCCACTGGCCCATTACAAGTCCCCCTGATTCATATTTTGCGCTCATACTTGCTTGTCTTCTAAGAAGAGATGCAGCAGGAATGCCCTCCCTCTTCTTACCCAGCAGATATGACATTACAGCTCATTCCATTCCCAGAGACATCTCGCATGCATGCACCCCTCCACCAGGAAGGGTTAAGCTGCCAGCAGCTTGCTCTCGGACTTGGCTCCGGGCCCAGGTGAAAACTCTCAGTGTCTGACCTTTTCATCTCTTTCCTCTTTAGGTTTCCTGTACGCACTGGGCAAGACAGGTGCCAAGACCCCAGTGGTCCTGCACCTCCTATGGCAGGACTTTATCCCTGGCTGCCCTATGGAGTAAATTTCAAAACAAAAAGATCCCCACATTGCGCCACTGAAAAGTGACCAAAATAGCATTACTGCTCTGGAATTCAACACAAACAATTGAGAAGTTTACCTAAAATTTGTTAAGCTCAGGGAATCATTAAAGAGCTACTGCCGCGTTTAGGAATCTTAGGAATATAGTAATATGAGAAAAGAGAAAAAAAAAAATACACATGGGGAGGAGAGTGGGATTCTAAAGCTAACAAAAAAAGTATTCTGTACACAAGATCATATACTAACGAGAACAAATTTTCTGCTCAGTCGTTAAGATACCAAAACACTAGAATAAGGCTTGTCGAAGCATGGGAGTATATCTGAGACTGCGCAGACTCCTATGAGTCTGTACAATACAATGGCCGCATTGATAAAGAAGTTGGCCTGGGGCACTTAACCCCTTAATGATATTGGAAACGCACAGCACTAAATATCTAGGTAGGCAAGCCTGCAGTGCTCAAACATCTGTAGAACTGCAACACCCATCTCTGCTAGCTGAATGTTCTGGGCTTTGTGGTCCAAAAACTGCTGCATGATATGTAATGTGGTGATGGGCTGTGAGGTCCAAAGACTGCGGCATGACCAATTTTGGTAAAACCTTTTTGGTTACTAGCAATCAAAAACATAGACCCATTAATACGTACAAAGGGCACTTAGTGACATCGTTCGCAAACACTGGTTTTGTAGTTATGAGTAAATATGTGTAGCAGGCTGCAATGCTCACAGCTCAGACAGTGTTAAAGCACACGGGTGGGCCACGTGTTTCATATCTGCCGTGTCTGTGCGTGGCAGGCGTCCAGACGCAAGCTCCCACATCTCCTGGTGAATCACTGCGCTTCTCACTAACGCTTCCAATCCCCCTCCTCACTTTCTACCCCCCACATCCCACCATCCCAAACAAGCTCCCCCTCCCCACACATACACACACCAACCCCCTCCCTCCTCCTTAGTCTGACTCAGGCACACAGTCCGGCCTGTTCTCCCTAATTAAATAGGAAAAGTTACCAGTGTCTGACATCACAGTCTGAATGTATCCTAAGAGCCGACTTCAATAGGGCTCTGTGTGCAAAACTGAGAAGCAGTCGGGCACCCACGGGTGAGGGGTGGGCACTCGTTTACACAATGAAGTAATTACTAAACTTTGCAGAAATGGAAAAGGGAGGGGGCAGTTTCAAACTGACCACACCTTAAGCCCTCTTCGCTCTGAGACAGAGCAGATCAAACAAGTAATTGTAGGGCTGTTGGCAGTGCTGGGATACTGAAGCATACATGAAAAAGCTGGCACAAAGTACCAAGCACCACAATCTCTGAGCACAGCAAGTCTATGACACCCGGATGGAGTTTTGCATTGAAAACTCTTGTGAAGACCCCCTCCTCATACTGAATCTCTCATGCCTTGTGGGCAAAACACTGCTGTTTGCAAGAAACACAGCTTTGTCGGGTTTTTTTCTCCCCCCCCCTCGCAGTTTTCCTTTGCTTATGTCCCTTGCATCTTAATGATTATACTCCCCTCTTCGTTAGTTGCGGTTACTTTTATTTATTAGCTTTCCTTCCTTGTGCCGTATCTTGGGCAACTCCATTTTGTTCTCCTCTGTCCGATGTCTGCAGTTTGCCCTTCTGTGTAGTTCTTCTGAATGATTGATTGTGGATAAATTAACAAAGGAAATTGAACTTTGCACGTTGCCAAACTGTACCAAAGATTCCACTTTCTATGAGAAAAGGCGAGTCCCTACTTTATTCTTATGTATTTAGGGTAAATTAAAAAAAAAAAAAAAGATTAAAAATTCCAAGACATGCAAAAGCCACAAATAGAGCAACTTTAACAAAAATGTTATGTCACTATTCAGCCAACTTAGTTCCTCTAGTCACTACATACTATGAACAGATTTGTCACATAACAGAATGCAGAATAAAGTAATACTAGATCTTTTCAAGATGATTAGAATATATTAATATATACAGTATATAGAATAATAAATATAGATTTGAACGTTGACCTCAAACCATTCAATTAAAAATAAAATGGTCTAGTGGATGGCTTAGCTGACTTCTACAGACTGACCCAGTAGCCAAATCATGTAATAATATGCTCAGCTGCCAAATTTGTGTCATTGTAAAGGCAAGTAACATACGTGGAGGGGAGATTTTTAAAAGCGTTAAGATAGTTTCCTCCAAGTCTAAGAAATCTGGTTATAAGAAGGTACTCAGGCATTCACAGACATGAACAGTGCCTTTTTTGTTGTGATTATGGTATTCACAAATTCACCATGGGGTCAACTGCAAAGATAACGAAATAGAACTCTGACAAAATTACAGGGATAGCACAAATTACTTTGTGGTTTCGCCTATGGCACAGCGGAGATATTGAAATATGTATATTGCAATTCGGTCTTCATAAGTTATTGAGTGAGTTTATGTGATTCAAATCAACAAATAGGGACGGGTGATTTATTTCACAAGGTGACCAACTTGGGGTCTTAAAAAAAAAGACATGTCCTAAATCTCAGCAGTGAAACCAAATAAAAACCATTAAATTTAGTAAAAAGCAGATACATACAGTTTTGGGTGGCGTTAGCAAAAAGATATTACACCTCACCTTATGCTTTGCTACATAAAGTATATTACGTTTATTGGATATCTCACTGTTTAATGAGCAAAACAGATATCCACATCAAAACATGTGTCATATTTTTTTTAAATGGTGCTTTATCCCTCATGTACCTGAAGGGTGAGTAAGTTGGAATACAATGCCCATCATGCCTGGTATGTGTTTTTTCTTCCTTTTTAAAAATAGACTATTCATCTGCACCCATCGCAAGGTCAGATTTGAATCTCCAAGACGGTTGCAAAAAACGCCTGTAGGAGAAATCGCAGACACACAGTAACCACACTGCGCCACTGATACCTGGCATTGCCCTATTATCACCCACCGCAAGGGCAGAGGGATAGAGTTACAAATCAATACACAGCGTCTTGCTGGAAACGCTAAACCAAGAGAATGAGTGCTGTGACCTCAGTTCAATGGCTGACAAGGTCATGGGGGGAGGCGGGGTATGGAGAGACTGGATTTAGAAAAGGGGATAAAGCAAAGTGTGAAATAAAAATAAAAAATAAAAAATGTACTTTCTAGCCAATAGCATCCTGCAATAGATTGCACAGGAAATAATTAAGGATTTTAGAGAAAATTTACACTACTATACAGAGAACAGAGTGGTTGGCACAAGTAAAAACAAATAAATCGCAGGACAAGAAGCTGAACAAAAAAAAAGGCATGGCATCGGTGCATTTCTGGTCGATGTCTGTATGTAGGTATTAAAATAAAATGCTGGCAGGGAGATTGAGCAGCACAGCCACCCTTTGGGACTAAAAAGGTTAATGCCCTATCTGTAGGCTTCTCATTGGAGGATTATAGGAGGCTACTGCCACTGCTGATCTCCCTATCAACAAATTCACAGTTCCATGGCTTCCTGCCAAAACAGCTGTTCATTTAGTTTACCTGGAACGGGTCAAGGTTCAAATTTCACTGCAAATCTACAGTATTCACAGCCCCATGGCGTAGGGTTCACCAACCTGCGTCACTCTAGCTCTTTGAGTACGACTCTCATGACCCTCTGTCAAAGGTTGACAAAATAACTTGGGAGCTGCAGGTTGCTTATTATGGAGCACAATTCGCAAGTGAAGGAAATGAGTGTAATTTCACGAGTATGGAAAATTAAAAAAATTTAAAAATTTAAATCCCCACCCAAAAAAAACAAACAAAAAAAACCCCACAAGGTAATAAAGATACCATAAAAGATCAGCACAGTAAGTGGCAGCAGATATATTGAATTTTTTTTCCATTATTTATTTTTTACATACGAAGTGCCGACATGGCCCCATATCGCAGATCCTGCAATAGAAACAGAAAAAAAGACTAGACGTCTCAGACAGGAAAAGAGCCAAGCGCCATGTAGCTCACGTCTGGGGAGAGGAGTAGGGGAGGGTTGATAACTTTTGGAAAGTACTTATTCCCCTTTTCTTGAAGCTCTCCACTGGATGATTTCATGAAGTTTTCCAAGAACGAAAGAATTTCTTAAGCTAAAGTGCAACCCCTTTCCCAATATGTATATACCAAGGTGATCCATTCATTAAGCTAGCATGGCATTGAAAAGGTTAAATAAAAAAATTCATATACACATATACACACACACACACATATATATACACATACATACATACACACACACCAAAATTAAATCTACTCAAATCCTGATTTAACTTTCACAGACAAAAAAAAACTTGTCTTATACACACACACACACACACACACTTCTCTTTTTTTTGGCATCATGCACTTTGACACAATAAAATACGATGTTTAGAAGTCATGCGAGTGGTACTTGTTGGTATTTACCTATTGCGTGGGTGAGCACAGAGGCAAGTGACAGATTAAAGAGTGCCAGACACTGGGTATAGGTATTCTAGATACCTTTCAGACACTTTTTCTGACAGCCATATTTTTTTTTATTATTATTTTATTTTTTTTTAATAGCACACGCACACACACAAAATGGCATTACAGTTATTAGACTTCATACTAATGTATATAACCAGAATAGCGCCAATAATTGCTCAAACGTATGTGGGTGGTGCCCGTTCTGTATGTTTAAAGGTTGCAGTTCTTAAAACACAGCCACCTGTACACTTACTTTGCCTGGGTCTATCTTAAGCAACTGCTTTCAGTACTGAATGTGGGAAGCAGCTTAGCAAGGTGGGTGATATCAAAGCATGGTACAACTAAAATATAATGTGGGGGGAAAGGGAGGGGGTGTGAGGAGACAAAACAAAAGTTAATCTTTTATGAACCTCTAAACAAACATTGCTTTGTTATAGATCACATAATTTCAAAACGTAAGCACCCCCCTATTCAGGCCAGCAGCCCCAAAATCCACCCCAGGGTGTGACAAGTCTAGAACAAAGCTCAGCTTGTCATCCCTAGCTAAAAACTTTTTCGGAGGTAATAGCTGGATGCCGCTGGCTATTGTGTGGGTGTCATACCTGCAATGGCACATTAACCATTTACTTGCCAGAGGGGCATGTCCCAACGGCACTAAAGCAGTTAGACCTTTGGGATAACTGAATGTAAACAGTCAATAATCTCAACAGTACATCTATTTCGGTCAGGGATTCCCTATTGGTTTTTGTTATCCTCAAGGGGAAAACCCAAAGCTGGTTCCTGCTCAAGGTGTGTATGAGCACAGTTAGTACTTACAGTCTTCTCATGCAAAGCAGGGGTTAATAGGCGTTGGCAAAAGGTACTTCGTGCAACCAAATGCAAGCAAACCTTGCCGGAAGGACAAATGGAACATGTAACCTTACTAAAGCTAAGCTAGGTGATGAGGACAACACAGAGGAGCGTGCGCATACAAGTCGAGAACACAAAATTGGGAGGGATGCGGGCATTGTGACCAAAGAGTAAATGGCACCAATTCAAACAGCTGTGTTTTTATTTTATTACACTATATTGGTTTTTTTGCCCTCAAAAAAAATAAGATGGAAAAGCAATTGAAAAATGTAATGTTACTGTAAAGACATTTAAAACTTGCAAACTTAGCCTGGAAAATGTTCAATACCCGACTGGCTTTTCCATCACAGGAAAACCTAAGATCATTGGAACTCTAGGCTAGCAATCACAGAAGATTATAAAACCAGTTTTGTAATGGCTGGATTAACAAAAAAAAAAAAATATCAGTTTGTTTGCAAGTGAAGGAGCAAGATGAACTTGTGAATTAAAAATGGCCAAAATTTGATTGCAAATTAAAGCACTAACTGCTTGTTTTAGGGTGGAAAACAAGCAAATTTCTACCGGTTTGCCGTACTCCCACAACAGCTATAGAGCTACCGGTTGGCTACTCCTGACTATCTAAAACATGTTGGAAGGACTGGCTGGTGAGAAACAAAAGCCCCATTGAAGAGGCGTGTTTTGGGTGAGAGCTACACAGCAGGCAGGAAAATAAACATATACACAAATCATTGTTGTAATTATCTTCTCTGGAACACTTTCCGCCTCTTAAAATGAATTTAACAGTTATATGAACCCCATGATTCTGCAGTCATATGTATAACGATTAGTTTCCTGCTCGTTAAACATCAGAACTTCCCCGGGAAAGAGGACACGGAAAATCCCCATAAAAGGAAGCTGTGGTTACCAAAACACGTTGGTCTTTCTGGTATAAAGGGTGAGCATCTTTTAGGGTGCACAACTGCAACCTTTACAGATAAGCTATCTAGCTACACAAGATGCAGCAATTGTAAAACAAGTTTTGTGCGTATGCCATGTTTTACTATTTGGACTTCAAAACATTCTGGGACAGGTTCTTAATATCACTATTGCAACAGATTCAGAACATATTTTTTAAAGAATAAGAAGATTAATTGAACCATTTTCTCTCAAACTTTTATGCATAGCTCAATAGTGGAGTCATTTTCACGATTCTAACATATCAATGGTCCGAAAACAACTGATCGTTTTTGAGAGGGCACTAATGCATTATCATTGTTAAACAATAAGGGCATCTATGGAGACAGAGGAGCATCCACCATATGACGATCTGCTGACCATATCCTGTCCAACGTTTAAGACTATACACCTTTATGGACGACTGATTACTTGAGGTCTAGTCACGTAGTAACATAACTGCAAAGAGACTTGCGTCCATAAAGTTCAGCCTTCCTCTTTTGGATCAACAGCCTTTGCTGTTGATCCAAAAGAAGGAAAATAAACCAGTCTGAAGCGCTTCCAATTTTGCAACAAACTAGGGGAGGAGAATCCTTTTGACCACAAAATAGTCAGATATCGCCAAAAATGTAATTGTTTCTTTCAAGTGAAACAGATTTATGACAATGTTAAAAATCACAATTTAAAGTTAAATGCTACTTTTTTTTTAAAACCTAAATTACTCCCAAATTTTGTTGGACTACAACTTTATATGCAATCAAAAGACTTTTGAGAGGTGTATCTTACCAGTCTGGGGAGGACAGAATTTTACAACTTTGTGTTTAGAAGATCAGCAACTATAAGGGGGTCTATGTCACAGTTTAGAACACAAACTGTTTTCTAACTTACCAAGCTATGTCACTTTATGTTCGTTTACATACAAAAAATATGCAGACATGCACAGAGTCAGACATATTGATTTATAAATAAAAAAAATAAAAAAAAAAACACTAAGGATGGTTGAGAACAAAGTCCAGAAATTATCTCTCCTTGTTAACATTCCTGCAGCACTGGTTACCCCTCTAAGCAGTGCTTTTGTAACGCTTGCAGTGGCGAGATACCTTTACACCTGGCTAGTAACGCAAGACTACAAATTTTGTTCATTAGGGCATCAAAAGGGTTCTCCAGACTCTCTTTCTCCCCACATCGAGAAGGATGACAAATGGGGACAGATTTAGTGATTTTGTATTTTAGGGAGAATACCACCTATTTTATTCTGCTGAAGTCTTTAAAATGCAAAGCAGGACTTGTGAAATTTCCCATAACACTTAATTATGGCACCATATGGTTTATATATCTAGCAGATTTGTGCAAAGCTTAGTGGTTATCACAAGCCCTTGGACAGAAGAGCAAGATCGAGTCATGGACTTTTTAGACTCATTAGGGTACGTAGAAAATTCACCCAATAACTTAGTGCCATCATGCCCTAGAGGTAGATCCTATTGTAGATTTCATCTGAGCTGGAAGTCACTGTTTCAATGGATTTTGTAGTGTGACAAACTTCTATTCCACAATTAGTTATCAGGGCACATGGATTTAAATTCGTGTTAAAGTAGACAGAGACAAAACTAAATATGTAGCAGTGACATTACAGATTACAGAAAATGCTAACCACCTTTCAGATAAAGTAATAACTTGAACAAGACATCTGTGACACTGAATACTGTTCACCCCGCAGGGTGTCTATATCTAAAAAGTGATATCTACAGCATTGTTGCAGGCAGAACCTAGAGTGCACACCAAAGAAAAAGGAGGGGAGGGGATCTTTACTGGAAACATGACCAAACATAACCAGCTTTGAACAAAGTATTTAATTGCATAGATAGTAGGTATGCATAGTAACCACACAAATCTCTTAAATACACAGCATTAACAGCCAATAAGGAACAAGGAATCAGATGCATGCTGTTAATTATTATGGGATGGATACTGCACAGTAAAACAAAAGGCTGGAAACTAAATAGACTAAAATGTGTTCTTATAAAACAAAAAAAGTTACAAAACATAGAAATGGTCTACATGTAGTACTTCGAGATTATGATGCTTCCTTATTAACGTAAAGCCAATTGACAGAACAGTATTTAACACCATGGATATTTTATGAGCTATAAAAAGGCCAGATCTAAGACTAACAATTATTTATTTAATGTTATAGCATATGCTCATGTACTGTAATTTTAGTTACTAGAATATACAAATAACTTCGTACTACAAGTATACTCCAGTAGTGGAGTTTACAGTCCATTGGAGGAGCAAAGCAAATTAACCAAGTTGAAACCACAAAACTGTGTGTAAACATACGCCCATCAACTGCAGTCTAAGTTTAATTGGTGACCCTCCCTTCTCTATGGATTTTTAACGTTCCAATACATTTGTGACCCTAATGTATGTTACTGTGAAAAGGAGTGGCATACATTACTTGTCTCTATCTAGAGAGATAGATATATAGATTCATCCACGAAGCGAGAAGCAGACAGATTAATGTATCCCTCAAGCCTCGCCGTGTTACTCCCAAATATACATAAAGGGAAGGCTGCATTGGTTCAAGCCTGCTGCCTATATAGGATTCAATTACAGCTTTATAAATAGGATTTTACCAAAAGTCAGATGTTTTAATTAGCTGAAGGTTCTTAGGGGCAGTGCGGCAACAAAAAGAACCTCAGCTCCAAGAATTCAGCTACAAAGGCACAAAACAAAAATGCACATTTAAATACACCCTACTCCACATGTAAATATACAGCTTTTTACATAGTTTAAAGTTTCATGCAGGTGGCAACTTTGCTTCCTGACTTACAAGACTGAGCAACCCCAATCCATGATCCTAGGACAGGTAAAAGTTTTTAAGAAATTGTATTTTACAGAAATGCTATAGGCCTAACATGCTTTCATACAACTGAATGGAGGCAGTCTGCAAAGCGTGTTCGCGGCTGTTATCCATAAAAAGGAGAGTAAGAAAATGTACCAGTAAATTTTTGGTTGTTTGTGAATACTTCACTATGGCCCATTACAATATCAATATCTGCTGAAAAAGGTGTACTGGAGTCCCAGAAAAGTCAGCCTTTCAGGCTAATTGAAACACAAGAACATCAGAAGATTAAATGGATTGCCTGCAATAGGTCAAGAGCTGTAGTCACCTAACCAAGTGAGTGATCGGTCTAGATTTGAAATCAACAATCCACGTATAAAAAACAAAACACTATGCATGTGGCTTAAGTGTCTCTTTTCAACAGCCCCCATGTTATCTGAGATAAAAAGAAAATAAAAAAATTGAATTCACTTCATAAGACAATCTACGAATCTACGCAGCCCACAGAGTTTAAAATTAAATATAAAAAAAAAAAAAATATCTTAAGAAAAATATGTTTGTGACACATGCTCTTGAAAGCTACTACCTAACCAACAGCATGCCAGCTCTGTGACTACATCATCCCACTGACAGACTTGCTTTAAATCCTTCGCCTGCCCACATTGAAGCACCCCCTCAATCACAGCCTGATGTGTGGGGGTACATATCAGGGCCCCCACACAGTGTGACTGTTCAAAAAGGATCAAACAAACCCCCCCAATATGATGTCATGTGAAGAGGACCATTAACCCTTTCAAATCAACAACACAATGTGCAGAGTAAGCCTCTGTTCTTTCCTGACAAGTTACAAAACACGTGAAATTTCCAAGAAAGTACAAGGTCTCTGGTCCCTGCATTCACTGTGACACATGTTAACACCCGATAACTAGGGGAAAAAAAGATAACGGGTTTAATGAATAAACTAAATATTTGGAGGCCTGTTAAGATAAATGCACATTTTATGCACAAAGAGCTAATCTGGAAAGTGTTTTCTATTAGGCAACTTTGTCCTAACATTTGCAATTCTTTAGTCAAGTCTCACGTCAACTCCTAGTTTAGCGAACAGGCCTTTGCGTTTACCCATTATATAATGAAACATCAATGAAAATCTACAGACATCGTGACACCTACCCATTTCTAATCACGAGTGCTGAAATTTTTCATAAGCAAAGAAACCAAAACATCTTGCTGAAGGAGGGGGGGTGGGGGGTAAGAGAGGAGATAGAGACAAACAAAACCAGTTTACCAAAATGGGGAACACATGAAATAGGATTAATTTACATATACCAGTAACTGTCCTAGTAAATAGAAAACTGCTTAGGAGATTGACACAGCATGTGTTATATACATATTCCTCCAAAGCTTTAAGATACAATACACGTGGGATTCAGCTGATAAATCTAAAAAATATAAAATGTATTTAATTTATTTTTTAGATTTAGCAGCTGAATCCCACGTGTATTGTATCTTTTGGCTTGTATAGATGTAACACTATTTAGGAGGTGTCCGGTGGGAAGCTGTCTTCTGTTTATTTGATAAGTATATGATCTTATTTCTGTTTTTTGTTCTAGGATACCCTCCAAAGCTTTGCTATGTAAAAAGGACTTTCTTCCATGGCATGGGGGTACACCGTACAGTATACTATGCTGTTTATATATTTATAAGATTTCAGAGTTATGACATAAAGGAGGAATATTAATATACACAAAGGCTTGGAAAATACATATTCAATTTTAAGATCCAACAAATTTAGATCTTAATCTCCATTTATTGTGAGCCAAGACATGTATAAAATTTTTCAAACCATGAAAATGGCAGCAGTAATATTTCAAGGAGTTCTGGCTGCCTGGTTCATGGTGTATCTCAATCCCTTTAATAACAAAATGACTTACTTCACCAATTTAAGAAAATTACCAGGGAACACAAAATTAAATACATGTAGCTAAGTAGTCACATGCACACAAACAGGAGAAGAGGGGGAAAAAAATGCATGCTTCCTTTAACCTAAACATTTCCCTTTCCAGCAAATTATATAGTTTTGGTTAAGAGCAATCTCTTGGAAACCGCGTGAATAACCTATTTTGTGCGTGGATATAATGGTTGATGGCAACTTTCATTGGCATGGAAAGACACTTCAGGGAAGGATATAAGCCTGGGGTTTATCTTGAGACAAATTAATAGATTTTACAGATCAAAATGGAATAAAATGGAGTCTGCAAAAAGATGCGCCCACAGTATTCCCCAAAAAAATTTAAATTAAATGGCGATTCCCTCAACGTAGCACTGCTAGAGTCTGATGCATTTTGGGGTCTGACAGCTAGCTTGCCACGTTCTGTTACAGGTGGTAAAATAATACCCAGCCACTTTTAACCCCTTAAGGACACAACTTCTGGAATAAAAGGGAATCATAACGGAATATTTCCGTCATGTGTCCTTAAGGGGGTTCAAACCAGATTTGTTTATTGGTTGTGGTTCCTGATTTTATTTTCTTGTATTAATAAACCGGCTGTGTGACTTCTACCCCTATACACAGACTGCATTTTGTTTTGTTACATTACACAACTGATAAACAAAACACACTATTGCAATATATTATGTATTTTGGACTATGAGAGTTTTAGAACATCAAGTTTTTGGGATGTCGTCCCTTTATAAAGTTAGAATTTGATAACAGAAGAGACTAATAGTTTATTTCGCTTTTGTATCACAGGAGTAATAAAGCTATTTAAACCAATATTATCTAGAGAGGAATAGGTAATTAAGTGATAGCACAAATTGACATTACCAAATTAGTACACAATGGCACAGACATACCTATGTGACTCCTAGAATGTACGGGAATGGCAAGTAATTTAAATAGTAAAGCATTTAATTAGAAAACACCAATGCTTGGACATATTGGCCTTTGTGCACACAGGCACCCTGGGTTTTGAAAGAACAAGCTCTGTTATCATCCGAAGCACACCTTTCTTGTATTTATATAAAGGGGTGGAGAGGGTTGAAGATGTTTGTTATAAAAAGGAACATAAAAATAGGAATTTACAATTGTGAAAGTCCTTTTAACCTTCTCTTGCAATCTACATATCTAAAGCACACAAACAGACCCCTCACTGCAAACTGGCCTTTGTCTCAAGCAGTCTTACAGGCACCACTGATGTCACTCCCCCCTGACATTGTCCTATCTTTGACAATAACCAAACTATTTAATCAGAGTGCCCACCCTATGGTCAGTCTGCAGCCCAAACTGGAAAGGGTCATTAGTGAAACTGGAAAACAAAGTTACCATTTATACATATAAAAAGAGAAATTAAAGTGTTTAAGGAAAAGGCCAGAGGAACTGCAAAACAAAGCAGTACAGCCACAGTGTTTTGCAGTTCTCTCTCTTTAAATATATCAACAACCCCCCTTCCACACACACACACACACACTCATATATACACTCCCTCCCTCTTCCCGATCCCAAACCACACCACCCTCTCTCTAATCCCTTGAGCCAAAAGCTAAAAGGCTGGAATTCAATCTCTGCTTGAAAAACTAACATTACATCACTGATTCCAGGACTGCTGTTAAAGACACAGACTGCAGGAACCAGCACACACATTTCTGCCTTTAAAACAGTGGAAAGTTTACAAGGAATTTCCATCTGTCTAGGCCTGCAACTTAATGCTGGTGTTTAACTCCTTAAGTGTCAGAGTCACTGCCAATACTTTATACATATAAATAAAATAAAAAACAACCTCACAGTCTCTGGCTGGAAAACTAGAAAGCCTGCCTATTCATTTTGCTGCAGGGGGAAATCAGAAAGTATAACAACGTCGTGTTACCACCCAAGCTCCAAGACCAAAAACAGATTTCTAACATTACAAAAACGACTCTGAAATATCAAACTTTGATCACAAGTCAGGCTACACTAGTTATAATGCAGTCAATAACACGGGGCCTTCTTGTGCACGCAAAAAGTCTAGCAATGGGTTTCAATACCCCCTACTCTACGCCCATCTAGATTTTTATTTTAAGACTTGACGGTTTTGCCAAGTCTGAGTTTTTATTCCAGCAATATCCTGGCATAGTCATGATTTTAACAGACACCCAAACCAAGACATGCGAGTAGTTTCAGAGCCTCAATTAGGGACAAGTTTTAACAGAAGCAGAATAGTGAGTTTAGGAGGGGGGGGAGATGCAGATGGGGGGTAGGCTTCAAATTCCAAAAGACAGACAATCAGGCTACCCATGAGGGGAGGGGGTTTAAGGTGGCGCCAAACAGAGAAGAAAAAAAAGATAAAGATTTTAGAATTATGTTGGGTATCCAAGAAGAGAGAGAGCGAGAGAGAGAAAAAAAAAAAAAAAAGTATATGGGACAAAGTATCAAGGAAACTGACAGCTTGGATTCTGCACTCATTTAAATGGGCAGTTTTTCCCCCTAGAATGTAAATAGAATTGGCATTACTTTACAAAATGTGCAGACAGCATGAGAATAAGATGGCGCTTTATAAAGAAAAAGTGTAATTTACAGTTAGGTAAGGGTTATGATTTTCATTATGGTTAAAGAAACAAAAAGTGTTATTGCAGGGGTTTTCAAATGCTAAGACCATAAAATAAGAGGAGGCACAGTAAGAAACATAACACAATGAAGAGTTGAATATAAGCCCTGTTTATATATTAAAACAAAACCCCAAAAAAAAACCCCCCCAAAAAACATTTTTTTAAAATCTAGTTGATTTTGTACTATACCAGAAAAAAAAAATTCCCACTTATGTGTACAGCACAGAACAAGGCTGCACTAAGAACATATCAATACCGATGTCTCAATAAACCGAAAACGTGAAAAGGAAGAGGGAAAAAGCAAACAAGTGGGTGAAAAAATAAAAATATCCTGCTAGAACTGTGTTTAGTACTGCAGCAACAAGTCTCGGGTTTGTTGCATGTCCTGAAAATTCATTTGGGGTCATGAATCTCTCCATTAAAACACTGATACATGTAATACAAAGATAGGCACATCACATGCCGAAGACAGGGCAAACACGATAAGAGCAGGATATCGCATTGTTAGCATTCTGTCGTATCGGGAGTTAAATAGTTAACAGATGCCACAAGCTCAGTTAAGGAAACGATCTTACGCTGAATGTTTTAAACAGACTTTACGTGATCTGTGCCTTTAAAGGCAGAGACTGGGCATGTACAAACGAGCAGTCCAGGCCGGCTGTACCACCTTAAGAGCACGCTGTTTGTCGGAAACAAAAAGTTCCATTTGGAACGTGGAGCACGGATACATTGTATCCGTCCGGAGGAGGGCCTGAAAACCGAACACTACTGCCCGTGTCAAGGTCCCCCAAGACCTGACAATAACCCTAAAGGTTAAACAGCAATCAGGGGAACCCCTACATGTAAACATACAGGCAATGTAGAGTGATGCAGTCACTCATAGAAGGGTAACCCCCAGAGACAGCGCTGGCCTCGCATCCACACCAATAGAAACCATGGCGGAAACACACACAATGAACCACAACACAAAATTATCAACACAACTACAGGGATTTAGCACAAACATAACAGCATGGTTCAATACAGGGAACCAGGGTCTACAAAATCTCAAAACGGGCACACATGGGAGCACTGCACAGACCCCCTCGTGATTTGGACAAGGTCTAACCGTGAAAAGCAACAAGTGCGATGCATTTTAATGGCTGACGTTGCCTCGATTGTGTGTATCACAGGCTGTGTGTTATCCTGGCACATGTGTGCCTGGCAGCTGTGCTCTGTGGTGCGGATCTATCTGTCCTGGCCATGCACTTCTCTTACTGTGTTGTGTGTGAGCAGCAGGACACGGTTTTGTGACTTTAGAGCTCTGTGTGTGTGTGTTGTACCTGGTTCTGTTTCTATGGCTGTTCTCTTCATTGCGGGCTGTATGGAGTGGCACACCGTGTACTGGTTGTGCTATTTGTGGTGTGATCTGCCTCAGCTCGGGATGTGTGTACGCTGAAGTACAGTAGCTGTGTCCGTTTGTGCAGCTGTTGAGTTACGAGACTCTGCATGGGTCTTCATGAACTTGTCTCGGTGTGATACCTGGCTTTGTATGGGGGGAGTGGGGATCACTAATTCTATCACTTAAATTGTCGCAGTATCTGAGTTCTATGGCTGTGTGGTATGTGCTCAGCATGGATGTGTAGTGCTTGTGTTGCTTGTTTTGTATCCTGGTCCTGCACGGCTTTCGCAGATTTCTGTTCAGGATAGTGTACAGTAGTTGGGTCACTTTCTGTTGTTGTTGGTGTCATTATGTGTTGTTACAGATCCTGGTCAGGATGAGTGAGTGTGCAGTAGCGGTGTCACTTCGTGTAGTTGTGTTACCTGGCTGTGCAATAGTTGCCATTTTAGTAGTTACTTGGCTATGTGATAACTGGGTCAGTTTAGATGTGTTACATGGCTGTACAGTATTTGTGTTACTTTGTGTAAAGGTGTTTCCTGGCTAAGTGTCACTTTGTAGTTGTGTTACCTGTTTGTGCAGAAGTAGTTGCTATGTGTAGTTGTGATAACTGGTTGTGCAGTATTTTATACTTTGTCTAGTTATTACCTAGCAGCCAGTGATCACTTAATGTAGTAGTTGTGTTACCTGGCTGTGAAGTAGTTGACACTTTGTGTAGTTGTGGTACATGAATGCTCAGTAATTGACACATTATGTACTAGTTGTGCAGTAGTTTTGGTACCTAGTTGTGTACTAGTTTGTGTTACCTGGCTGTGTTGTGCAGTAGTTTGTGTACTAGTTGTGGTGTTACCTGGCTGTGTTGTGCAGTAGTTTGTGTACTAGTTGGGGTGTTACCTGGCTGTGTTGTGCAGTAGTTTGTGTACTAGTTGTGGTGTTACCTGGCTGTGTTGTGCAGTAGTTTGTGTACTAGTTGTGGTGTTACCTGGCTGTGTTGTGCAGTAGTTTGTGTACTAGTTGTGGTGTTACCTGGCTGTGTTGTGCAGTAGTTTGTGTACTAGTTGTGGTGTTACCTGGCTGTGTTGTGCAGTAGTTTGTGTACTAGTTGTGTTGTTACCTGGCTGTGTTGTGCAGTAGTTTGTGTACTAGTTGTGGTGTTACCTGGCTGTGTTGTGCAGTAGTTTGTGTACTAGTTGTGTTGTTGTTGTTGCTGTTACCTGGCTCTGCCGGGGTTTTCATGGCTGTGTCCCGCTGGCTGTGCTCTCCTCTCGGTGCCTGACTCCGATCTGTGTCTCTCCTCCCGCTCGGGCCCCGGGCTCTCCTCCTCCTCTCCTCCCCCCGCTCACATTACACCCGCGGGACGCCCACGCCGCGGGGAGCCGCCCCCTCATGACGTCACGCAGCTCACAGCGTCTCTATGGAGACACCCCCCTCCTCGCCGACGCATGGCAGCGACGTCACTCACACAGGAGGCGGGGCCGGGCACTCACCGAGTACTAAACACAGAGTGACAGAGACAGGGGGCGGTCCTGTGTACAGAGAGCCTTACCAGACAGAGTCCTGTATATACAGAGCATGACCAGAAGGTCCTCTATACAGAGAGAGAGTGTGTACTGTATATACAGAGCACTGTCACAGCCCTCTATACAGAGAGAGAGTCCTGTATATACAGAGCACTGTCACAGCCCTCTATACAGAGAGAGAGAGAGTCCTGTATATACAGAGCACTGTCACAGCCCTCTATACAGAGAGAGAGAGAGTCCTGTATATACAGAGCACTGTCACAGCCCTCTATACAGAGAGAGAGAGAGTCCTGTATATACAGAGCACTGTCACAGCCCTCTATACAGAGAGAGAGAGAGTGTACTGTATATACAGAGCACTGTCACAGCCCTCTATACAGAGAGAGAGAGAGTCCTGTATATACAGAGCACTGTCACAGCCCTCTATACAGAGAGAGAGAGTCCTGTATATACAGAGCACTATCACAGCCCTCTATACAGAGAGAGAGAGTCCTGTATATACAGAGCACTGTCACAGCCCTCTATACAGAGAGAGAGAGAGTCCTGTATATACAGAGCACTGTCACAGCCCTCTATACAGAGAGAGAGAGAGTCCTGTATATACAGAGCACTGTCACAGCCCTCTATACAGAGAGAGAGAGAGTCCTGTATATACAGAGCACTGTCACAGCCCTCTATACAGAGAGAGAGAGTCCTGTATATACAGAGCACTATCACAGCCCTCTATACAGAGAGAGAGAGTCCTGTATATACAGAGCATGACCAGACAGCCCTCTATACAGAGAGAGAGTGTGTACTGTATATACAGAGCACTGTCACAGCCCTCTATACAGAGAGAGAGAGTCCTGTATATACAGAGCACTATCACAGCCCTCTATACAGAGAGAGAGAGTCCTGTATACACAGAGCATGACCAGACAGCCCTCTATACAGAGAGAGAGTGTGTACTGTATATACAGAGCACTGTCACAGCCCTCTATACAGAGAGAGAGAGTCCTGTATATACAGAGCACTGTCACAGCCCTCTATACAGAGAGAGAGTCCTGTATATACAGAGCACTATCACAGCCCTCTATACAGAGAGAGCGAGAACTGTATATACAGAGCACTATCACAGCCCTCTATACAGAGAGAGAGTCCTGTATATACAGAGCACTGTCACAGCCATCTATACAGAGAGAGAGTCCTGTATATACAGAGCACTGTCACAGCCCTCTATACAGAGAGAGAGAGAGTCCTGTATATACAGAGCACTGTCACAGCCCTCTATACAGATAGAGAGAGTCCTGTATATACAGAGCACTGTCACAGCCCTCTATACAGAGAGAGAGAGAGTCCTGTATATACAGAGCATGACCAGAGAGTCCTCTATACAGAGAGAGAGTCCTGTATATACAGAGCACTATCACAGCCCTCTATACAGAGCATGATCAGAGAGTCCTGTATACAGAGAGCTTTACTAGAGAGAGTCCTGTATACAGAGAGAGAGAGAGTCCTGTATATACAGAGCACTATCACAGCCCTCTATACAGAGCATGATCAGAGAGTCCTGTATACAGAGAGCTTTACTAGAGAGAGTCCTGTATACAGAGAGAGAGAGAGCCCTGTCACAGCCCTCTATACAGAGCATGATCAGAGAGTCCGGTATACAGAAAGCTTTACCAGAGTCCTGTATACAGAGAGCCGTACCAGAGAGAGTCCTGTATAGAGAGTGTCCTGTATAAAGAAAGCATTACCAGAGAGTCCTGTATACAGAGAGCTTTACCAGAGAGAGTCCTGTATAGAGAGCTTTACCAGAGAGAGTCCTGTATACAGAGCCTTCACCCTTACCAGAGAGAGTCCTGTATACAGAGAGCCTTACCAGAGAATCCTGTATACAGAGAGCCATACCAGAGAGAGTCCTGTATACAGAGAGCCTTACCAAAGAGAGTCCTGTATACAGATAGCTTTACCAGAGAGAGTCCTGTATACAGAGAGCATTCCCAGAGAAAGTCCTGTATAGAGAGCCTTACCAGAGAATCCTGTATACAGAGAGCTTTACCAGAGAGAGTCCTGTATACAGAAAGCCTTACCAGAGAGAGTCCTGTATACAGAAAGCCTTACCAGAGAGAATCCTGTATACAGAGAGCCATACCAGAGAGTCCTGTATACAGAGAGCTTTACCAGAGAGAGTCCTGTATACAGAAAGCCTTACCAGAGAGAGTCCTGTATACAGAGAGCTTTACCAGAGAGTCCTGTACCAGAGAGAGTCCTGTATACAGAGAGCTTTACCAGAGAGAGTCCTGTATACAGAGAGAGTCCTGTATACAGAGAGCCTTACCAGAGAATCCTGTATTCAGAGAGCTTTACCAGAAAGAGTCCTGTATACAGAGAGCCTTACCAGAGAATCCTGTATACAGAGAGCTTTACCAGAGAGAGTCCTGTATACAGAAAGCCTTACCAGAGAGAGTCCTGTATACAGAAAGCCTTACCAGAGAGAGTCCTGTATACAGAGAGCTTTACCAGAGAGAGTCCTGTATACAGAGAGCTTTACCAGAGAGAGTCCTGTATACAGAGAGCCTTACCAGAGAATCCTGTATCCAGAGAGCTTTACCAGAGAGAGTCCTGTATACAGAAAGCTTTACTAGAGTCCTGTATACAGAGAGCTTTACCAGAGAGAGTCCTGTATACAGAGAGCTTTACCAGAGAGAGTCCTGTATACAGAGAGCCTTACCAGAGAATCCTGTATACAGAGAGCCGTACCAGAGAGAGTCCTGTATACAGAGAGCCTTACCAAAGAGAGTCCTGTATACAGATAGCTTTACCAGAGAGAGTCCTGTATAGAGAGCTTTACCAGAGAGTCCTGTATACAGAGCCTTACCCCTTACCAGAGAGAGTCCTGTATACAGAGAGCCTTACCAGAGAATCCTGTATACAGAGAGCTTTACCAGAGTCCTGTATACAGAAAGCCTTACCAGAGAGAGTCCTGTATACAGAGAGCCTTACCCCTTACCAGAGAGAGTCCTGTATACAGAGAGCCTTACCAGAGAATCCTGTATACAGAGAGCCATACCAGAGAGTCCTGTATATACAGAGCACTGTCACAGCCATCTATACAGAGAGAGAGAGAGTCCTGTATATACAGAGCACTGTCACAGCCCTCTATACAGAGAGAGAGAGAGTCCTGTATATACAGAGCACTGTCACAGCCCTCTATACAGATAGAGAGAGTCCTGTATATACAGAGCACTGTCACAGCCCTCTATACAGAGAGAGAGAGAGTCCTGTATATACAGAGCATGACCAGAGAGTCCTCTATACAGAGAGAGAGTCCTGTATATACAGAGCACTATCACAGCCCTCTATACAGAGCATGATCAGAGAGTCCTGTATACAGAGAGCTTTACTAGAGAGAGTCCTGTATACAGAGAGAGAGAGAGTCCTGTATATACAGAGCACTATCACAGCCCTCTATACAGAGCATGATCAGAGAGTCCTGTATACAGAGAGCTTTACTAGAGAGAGTCCTGTATACAGAGAGAGAGAGAGCCCTGTCACAGCCCTCTATACAGAGCATGATCAGAGAGTCCGGTATACAGAAAGCTTTACCAGAGTCCTGTATACAGAGAGCCGTACCAGAGAGAGTCCTGTATAGAGAGTGTCCTGTATAAAGAAAGCATTACCAGAGAGTCCTGTATACAGAGAGCTTTACCAGAGAGAGTCCTGTATAGAGAGCTTTACCAGAGAGAGTCCTGTATACAGAGCCTTCACCCTTACCAGAGAGAGTCCTGTATACAGAGAGCCTTACCAGAGAATCCTGTATACAGAGAGCCATACCAGAGAGAGTCCTGTATACAGAGAGCCTTACCAAAGAGAGTCCTGTATACAGATAGCTTTACCAGAGAGAGTCCTGTATACAGAGAGCATTCCCAGAGAAAGTCCTGTATAGAGAGCTTTACCAGAGAGAGTCCTGTATACAGAGAGCCTTACCAGAGAATCCTGTATAGAGAGCTTTACCAGAGAGAGTCCTGTATACAGAAAGCCTTACCAGAGAGAGTCCTGTATACAGAGAGCTTTACCAGAGAGTCCTGTATACAGAAAGCCTTACCAGAGAGAGTCCTGTATACAGAGAGCTTTACCAGAGAATCCTGTATCCAGAGAGCTTTACCAGAGAGTCCTGTATACAGAGAGCCTTACCAGAGAATCCTGTATACAGAGAGCTTTACCAGAGAGTCCTGTATACAGAGAGCCTTACCAAAGAGAGTCCTGTATACAGATAGCTTTACCAGAGAGAGTCCTGTATACAGAGAGCTTTACCAGAGAGAGTCCTGTATACAGAGCCTTACCCCTTACCAGAGAGAGTCCTGTATACAGAGAGCCTTACCAGAGAATCCTGTATACAGAGAGCTTTACCAGAGTCCTGTATACAGAAAGCCTTACCAGAGAGAGTCCTGTATACAGAGAGCCTTACCAGAGAGAGTCCTGTATACAGAGAGCCTTACCCCTTACCAGAGAGAGTCCTGTATACAGAGAGCCTTACCAGAGAATCCTGTATACAGAGAGCATTCCCAGAGAGTCCTGTATAGAGAGCTTTACCAGAGAGAGTCCTGTATACAGAGAGCCTTACCAGAGAATCCTGCATACAGAGAGCTTTACCAGAGAGAGTTCTGTATAGAGAGCTTTACCAGAGAGAGTCCTGTATACAGAAAGCCTTACCAGAGAGAGTCCTGTATACAGAGAGCTTTACCAGAGAGAGTCCTGTATACAGAAAGCCTTACCAGAGAGAGTCCTGTATACAGAGAGCTTTACCAGAGAGTCC